GGAAACGGACCCAACCTCACGAGCACTAATACTCTGAGTCGGCCACTCGCGGTCTACAGATTCGTGTTCTTCATAAGCTAAGCCTGACCCGTAGCTTCTAATCCAGCCTGGTCAAACAACAGCGGCGGCGCATCCCTTTCCCGCTATTTTAAAACTGGGTCCGGTCTCTCCCATGCCTTTGATATAACAGAACTTGCGGCGGCTGGCTGTGCCTACAGTCTGACCGCGCGGAGCAATAGCTGGCGTCTGTTACTCACCGCATCGGCCCCCTCCGGGTAACTAGGTGCTCCGCCATTCTGGTGTCCTCCTTCGTCCCGCTGTTGGAGGATGTCCTCCAAGCCTTCTTGGCCTCCGCCGCGCGATTGCTCGCGCTCTGCCATCACTTCGCTGTTACTGGCGACCGATATGCCAGCAACGTCAAATCGCCTTATCTACTTTACTATTGAGCTGGGTCCCGAATACAAAGTAAATCACTATTTAAACAATTCAAAATCCCCAACAGACGACGTTCTGACTTGCGCTTGCTTGCACGGTTGACTGGCGAACTAGCGTTGTCTGGATTCAGCGCTTTGTTCCCAGCTAATCTTTGTAACGCACTACCGTATCAGTCACTGTCCTCTGGCCAATTCCGGTCTGCTCCTCCCGCGCCGCACTTGCCGTACTACACTACAGGACGAGCACTTAATCAACATGCAGTGTGCTTATGCCGTAATATTTGTCGTTAGACTTTAAGGCTTGAGGGATACCCAGAGAATCGCATGACGACCTTACTTGTGTGGTGACCGTACTGAAAAAGCGCAGAATTGGAAAAAAATGAGGTGCACATGGTTACGGCAAGAGGCACTGAGCATGTAATTGCTAGGAGAATTCAGGTAAGGTATGCATTAAGCAAGGGTAGAAGAGGTAACAGCAAGGATCTGCCGCATGTCCCTGGCTTTTATTAGAGAGATATCCCTTTTGTCGATACTATGCGGCACATAATAATATCTTGTACCGCTCCCATACTTACTAAATCGCCAACCATAGACTATAATCCGGCACTCGTCTCTCATGTCTACCGTCCACCAACTACAAAGCTATTCATTGTAGTCCCGATTTCAGTTCAAGTCCGGCACTGGTTTGTCAACTACTGTCCAACATACAAAGTATAGTCGATTATTTAAGCAGCCTCTCGCACAAATGTGTCCGGTCGTACTTCGCGAATAGAGAATCCGTACATCTCGTCCCAAAAGTCAGGAGCGAATTTTGCCGCGCAGATGCGCGCGTGCGATTCGCAAAATGCGCCTGTACAAATGTATATAAAATTTCTTGGCGGATGAGGACCAGGTGCGCCAGCGCGTTGCGTGGTGAGCATGTTGGCCATAGCCGCACGCTGGACTATTGCGTGGATGCTTTGCAGTAAATAAAAGCACCGAAAGCCAACGTCGTAGCTTGCAACTCTGGGCTCTTGAAACTGCCGCGGAAGATGAACCGCTGGCGAAGAGGCACATGTGTGCAAGGCATAAGGCGCCTGCTTTCGGTAGCGCAGCGCATAATGCACATTGTTCCTACTAAACTCAAGTTACACTCTTACGAAATAAGTAATAAGAAGCGCAGAATTAGGTAAAGATAAGAATCGCGAAAGCCGTTCAGAACCTTGCAAGTAAAATGGATGCCGGTGAGGGCTTGGAACAGCTTTTCGCAGCGCATTCGGCCGTGCCTGCGTTAGCCGTGTTGCAGCAACTACGGAAGGACTTGAGCCAGCAGCAAGCTCAAAAGCTGCTGATAAACCACCGGGATTATCTTCAGATGGGAACATGTAGTTTTGGTCGGCACGGTCGAGCAGCGTATGCATTGCGCACAGGTACCGAGGTGCAGCGTCTCTTTGACATGGCCAAAATATCTGGTACGCGGTGGCTGGCTTGCCGACCGCGAAATGAAGGGGGGGTCGCATCTCACCATTCAACTAAGCATGCATGTACTCGGTTGAATGCTCGGTAGCGTGCGAGTTTACCCCTATCAGGATGTTTGTTTGCATATCCCTCCACGCGAGAGGGCTTGGACCTATGCTGATGTTCGTTCCAAGAAGTGAACTGAGGACTGATGCTATGGTGAAAGGTATGCACGTAAATTCGCCCATGCACCAAATGCCCTGTAACTCGCTTACGCTAATCTCACATTCCAATATGCCACTGCACTTTCCTCTCCAGCCTGGCCACATTCTCTTCCTCGCAAACGTACTTGGGCACCTTACAATCCAACACCATACGTGCTTTGGAAACCCGGGCAGCTGCTTCACAAGGACCCCCCTATTTTCGCAGCAGGAAAGAATGGATGGATGGATATTCCCACTAGGCGCTGCAAGTACAGGCGCCCTATTACAAGCTTCAAAGAGCTTCAACGAGTTCGTACGGTTCAGACGAACCCGGAAGCTCATGAACCTCTTCAGCCAGGCAAGAAGAAAATATAGAAAGGAACACAAGTAAACGTTTAAGCGACTGCACAAGCAAAGGTATGGCCTTAAAGCATTGAAAGGCCTAGCTCAATTCCAATGCGCGCCGTAACGCATTTCTGCGGCACTTTCCAAAGCTTCTGTAACGAAGCGTGATCTTGTCCAAAGCGTGCTTTGCTCATATACAGTGGCGTATCCCGCATTGTTCCTACAGCGCCACAAGTAAAAGGCATGTCTACAGAGCAATACATGTGCCCGCCCAGAAGGTAAAGGGCATTTTACAACAGGCAGCCGACCTCACCCCAAGCGAGCTAGGTCAATTGCTACAAGGCATTTGCAGAAGGACCTGTACCTACCCTCCTGAAGAACAAAGACCGGCCGGCCTTTGACAACCGCGGTTCTCAAAGGCGTTTCTGAAACTGAATCAGTCCGTCATAGGTAACAAAACCACACGCTATGCGTATGTAGGCTTGGCCAACAGAGGAATTGTCTTATTGTGTAGTGGATGTGATTGAGGGTGCTGCACCCTATGTTGTGATGAAATTTTGATAAAATGTACGAGTACGGTGAATCGAATGAGGTGCGATTACCGATGAAGCTACTTGTACTCGTGCAAAAACTTCACATTACCAATACATGCCGAAAGGCCGATTTGTTCTCCTGGAATGCCTGGAATGTGTCTGGGTAATTCTGGGACATGCTGTGAAGATCCTGATCTTTGTTGAGCTATGGCGAGGTCCCCGTGCACGTGAGAGTCATGGAACGGGGACCCCAAAACGAACGGCGCAAGGCCTCACACGGGGAACGTAAACCCTCCCCGTCAAAATCGCAACAATTTGCATTTTTGTTTGGTACTTTTTCAGCAGCTCCAAAACGTTCTGATGCTGTAAAAGCTGCAAGCTTATTAGGTGTAATGATGAACGAAGGTTCAAAACGTACTCCCCGAACCGTTCCTTCTCTGTAATCCATACCCCGGTGCTGTCCTCCACTATAAAGAAATGTTATTCAAGTATACTGGGCCGTAGTTGTGCTGTCATGTATAGCGGTATCAACAATTACTTGCCCGTAGCCCAGAAGCCATCGAAAACAAAATTTGCCCTTATGAAGACCAGAAATAGTAGCGT